TGTCTGCAGAATTATTCTTAAGTGTCGTTCATGGTCATCTTTGATTTTGGAATAAATTAAAATGTCGTCAATAAATACAATGACAAAATCATTCGGGAATGGTTTAAAGACTTTATGCATCAAATCCATAAATGCTGCTGGTGCATTAGTAACTCCAAAAGACATGACCAAGAATTTATAATGTCTATACCTGGTTCGAAAGGCAGTTTTCTCAATCTTTAGCTTTGACTCTCAACTGGTGATATCCTAACCTCAAATCAATCTTTGAAAATACCTGAGCTCCCTGTAACTGATCAAACAAATCATCAATTTGAAGCAAAGGATACTTATTTTTGATAGTTACCTTGTTAAGTTCCCGGTAATCAATACACAATCGAAATGTGCCATATTTCTTCTTCACAAACAGTATAGGTGCACCTCATGGTGATGTATTCGGTCGAATAAACCCCTTGTCAAGTAATCCCTGCAACTGAACTATCAATTCTTTCATTTCAGTAGTAGACATATGATATTGAGTTTTGGATATAAATTGAGTACTCGGTACTATATAGATTACAAATTCAATTTCTCTATAAATCAGTTATCCTGGTGAGTCTTCTGCAACCACATCAGGAAAATCCCTTACTATAGAGATGCTATCCAAGGTAATATTCACGGTTTGATCATTTATCACACTACACAAGTACCCTTGACATCCCTTACTAATTAGTTTACAGGCTTTCATTGCAGGTATTAATTATGGTAGAGGAGCTACACCCTTACCCTCAAAATAAAATTCATCTTGACGCAGAGGTCGAAATATCACTTGCTTAGATGCATAATCAATGCTGGCATAATACTTAGATAGCTAGTCCATATCCAAAATCACATCAAAATGTCTCATATCAAGGGCTAACAAATTAGCATATAAGGTGGCATTTCCAAGTAATAATACACATGCAAAAAACATAGATGAGCACAACATAGATCCCCCCTATTGGTGATGTAACACATAATATGTAACTTAAGGATTCAATGGGTCTATTCAATTTATCAGCAAATACCATAGAAACAAAAGAATGAGTGGAACCCGAATCAATCAATACATATGAAACTTGGCCACAAATAGAAAGTGTACCTGAAACTACCGCCTCTATGTTTTGAGTATCTCCTGGAATAAGTGCGATCACTCTTCCTTGCCTTACATCACTTCGCGTTGTCGCCTGAGTTGTGTTGGGTCTTGCTGCTGGGACTAACCTGGATGAACTTGTAATGCCTCGGTTGCCATTCCATCGTGGTTGTGTACAATCTCTTGCCATGTGATCGACTTTTCCACACTGATAGCATGCTTTCGTGGTACGATAGCACAACTTGAGTTACTAGATTTCAATTTCTTGCTCATTGATGATGTTGCTCCCTATTAATGTTCTGTCTCTTACCTTTGAAATTCCGATTGCAAGCGACTAGGTTTGCCTTTGACATAAGTGCCTTGTCTAACACATCAACTTATTTAGGCAGTTTCAAAACATTGATTGTATAAAGGATAGAGTCACGAAGACCTCTCTCGAACTTTCTGGCCTTTTTGTAGTCCATATCAACCAAATACAGTGCAAACCGTGCTAGTTCAGTAAACTGAGCTTCATATTCTGCCACTGATTTGTTTCCCTATTTTAGCTGCTCAAATTATGTCACTTTTCTACCTCGAACACACTACGGGAAGTATTTCTCATAGAAGATCTCTAAAAACTAAGCCTAATTAATCTCCCTGTTAGTATCTCGCACTAATATCCACCACCCTCTTGCTTCATCTTCGAAGGTGAAGGTAGCCAATAGAACTTTTTCTGTCTCTGTACACTAAAACACTTCAAACAATTTCTCGATCCCTAATACCTAGGCCTTAGGATCAACACCCCCATGGAACAAAGGTGGCTTCATCATTTTAAATTCCTTGGTGAGGGCAATGGTTTTGTCATCTGTTTGATGATCTGGCATCAGTGGTACAGGCATCGGAGGTGGGGGCCGTGGTTGCTATTGTTGCCATAGTTGTTGTTTTCTTAGGCTTTCAGCCATATCGTGCATCATTCTTTCCATCCTATCAAGATGGTTGGAGGTAGACTCCTCCAGTTCATCTTCTCGTGTTCTCACCATTATCTGTATGAAACTTGTATCATGACAAATACATTGTATGCACACACATATACATATACACATTTCAAAAGTAATCTCATATTGTCATTCAAATGCAATGAATGCAATTCTTAAGTCTTTTCTAGACATCTTATTGTTCAATGGACAAGTGAGTGAGGTATAACTCATGCTCTCATACCACTCTGTCACAACCCTAGCTCGCCCTTAGAGGTTCAGACCGCGACCAGACAGTAATCCCAAATTACCTTCGGCCTCAAAGTCAAATCAATCATAATACAACAATGCATAAAGTAATAATGAGCCATTGAGCAGTGCATACATGCCAAAAATCATAAGTAGTAAAAACCAACTTGAACTTCATAAAACTTATATACAATAGTCCAAAGTTAGACTCCTCACCCTACATCATTCATACAAGTTGCAAAATTGTCTAAAGAAACAAGAACAAAACAAGACAAAAGTTAGGTTGACAATGTTTAACTCCTTTCGAGTCCAAGTTCTCCCTTTCATGGAGGCACTTTCCAAAAGGCTTCAAAAGGGTAGACGTCAAGGCGACTTTAGACATGATGTTCCACTTTCTCAGCTACATATATATAAGGGAAAAGGGGTGAGCTGGAGCCTAGTGAGTAATAGCAGTATAAAGAAAAACATGTTTATATGAAATGTTGAGTGCAAAACCATGAAGAACTTTAAGAAATAACCCAAGTAAAGCCCATGTATGTATGAATTTTGAAGAAACTAAGTTCAAAAGTAAAGAATTACGCATGCATGTACACAATTCACTTGAATTCACTAAACTCATGTTAATTCTACCTCATTTCTTTCAATTACATGCAAATGGTCCTACAAATTGGTGAATTCATTTTCCTACATGGTTTAACTTCGTGAATTGTAGGTTAGAATCATACCTTGAGCTTGAATTTAGCGTCAATTAAGCTTAATCTCTACAACCTCCCTTGGTTTCTCTTGAATTCTTCTTCTTTCTCTCTAAAGTGTTGAATTATCTCTCTAGCTCTCAAATTTATAGCAAAAATTTGACGTAAAATGAAGTCTAAGCATGTTTAACAAATATACATATAGGGTGATTAAGGCCTCACTAATCACCTATGCTTAAGGCTAATCAAGTGGGCTTAAATCTAATCAATTATGATTATTTTATTCTAATTATTTTGATTCGAATCAAATTTTAATAAAACTTACCATATGATTCTAAAAATTCTAGCTAGCCATTGAATTAGCCAATTTTGATTTTTGAAGTCATTTGGACTTTCAATTTTGAATTCTAAGTCGACAATTAAATAGATAGTTCACATACAAGCAAATAAGTTTCTAATAAATACAAAATTGTGCAATTTATGCCCATTCAAATACTAGATAAAAATAATACAGAGGTCGGGGTCGTTACATTTACACCACTATTGAAGGGGGTTGTTTGGGCCCATGGGGCATACCACAGGTCCCATTTCTTATTCAAAGCCTTTCTATCAATAGGATCAACTTCTACAGTTGCATGATGGGCAGTTTTACTTTTCATTTGGAGATGATTCGAACCGGTTATTTTATTGGGAATTTCATGTATTTCATCCACACAAAAAATTAGGTCGATCCAATAACAGTAATTTTTTCAATTTACTGTGTTTTTTTCTACAACGACAATTTTTTTTAAAAAAAAAAACTAAATCATACATTTTTTTATGACAAAAATAATAAATTAAATAAGTTGTACATATCAGATCAATCTAAATTGTTTTGTGGATGAAATGCACGAAATGCTCGACAAAATGAACAGTTCGAACTATCAAAACCGAGCTAGTGAAACTGCCCCTCTACTAGAGGGAATCCTCCTCATAGAAAATGCTTATCCAAGTGATATTGTAGCCATACCATAGGGTGTGGTGATGAGAAGGTTAAAAATTCAAGCTAATGGAATATCAACGATTACTTTAGTTGTAATATAACTTTACTAACAAAACTAACATTCTAAAATCTTGACAAGAAAAAAAAAATTTGTTTATTCATATTTGAAAGGACATTCAACTAGACAAAGAGTTAACCTAACTAATTGGGCAAGTATTCTTTAAAATGAGAGTCCCTTTCTTGGACAGAAATATTTTAAACAAAAACAAAAAAAAGTTATAGATTCTCACAAGTTGAATCTAACTTGAGAGACTAGTTGAGCTTTAGTGGGCCCATTTTGGGTTGATTTAAGTCATTCGAATATTTCACTTTTTATACATAGAAAAAATTAAGATGATCTGATATCGATAACTATATATTTGAATTATATTTGTCTAAAAAAATAAACGATAAATATAATTTAATGAGTAATCACATATTTTTTATAATCTAAATGTGATTAAAATATATAATTATCGGTATATAATGATAATAATTTTTTATATACATATTTTACTCAATCAATTTTAACAAATAAACGACTCACATGTCAATCTCAAAATTAACTCACCAAATTTAAACTACTCTCTCAAATGAAACATGGCAAGAAATTTGACTTTTAGCGGCGTTTATAGACTTAAAAAACGTGACAATAGGCTTTTGTGACCTTTAATATTTTCGTCGTAGGTACAGCCGCCGCAATAGCTTAGCAGCGATTCAAAAAAGTCACTAAAAAATTAGACGGCATTTTTTAAAACGACGTGAAATCTTTAACAACCACTTACTTTTCCATTAATGCTATAATGATGACGTCATTCAGTGACGTTTTTTGAAAAAATGCCACCTTTCTTCATTTTTAATACTTGCCTCAGATGTGATGTCTTGATGACATCATTTAGTGGCATTTTTCATAATTTTTTTCATTTTTTTTAAAGAACAAAGCCCAATTAATTGAGAATTTCACTAGGAATAGAAATTGAAAATTAACTGAGAATTTATATAAATTTAACTAGGAATAGAGATTGAGAATTAACTGATAATTAATATAAAAAAAACATAGATTGGCTCAAATTTGAATTACAATGCCAAATTAAAGACCATAAAAATTCTAGTTCCTTGGAGGTTTAACCCTACAACTTTCCAAATCTCAATCATATACTGTCAAACAGTTTGAATTTTCTTCAAATCAGCTCCCCATGTTGTTTAGTGCAAACCTAAGGTGAGAATCTCCATTTTCTCCATGAGAACACTGATCAGGTCTGCTTGTACCTACCCCACATACAATCTTCATAAAATTAAACAAGGAAGAAATTGGTTACCAATAGGAACCATCTGAACCGAACAAGCAACACGCTTGAAATCCTCCAAGAAATACCCACAGAATGATCATGCAACTTCCTCGTAGCATCTATAGCACCCTTGATATTATTCCGTTCCAAAAAATGGCACACCACCTACATTCATTAGAATTTATATTATCTGCATCCTTACATAAAACAAGATGCTTGAATGCAATTAACATAAGAGAAATAGCAATTTTCTTCAAAATGAAAAATCAGAGGCAAAAGTTCGTCAATTATTACAAGCATCCAGTAATTTTCCATGCAGGAAAACTGCTTAATAGATGAGATAATTTTCGCAATCAGCAATCAGCAATAATGCCAAAATAATAATAAATCAGATCCACGGACCTGTAATTTTGTCAAGCGAGACCAAAGGGTACGTAAGAATACATCATGATTCTACATCAGATCTTCAGCAACATTACCATCATTTGTAGATGTCAACTCCCTTTCAGTTATTTGTGGATGTCCATTCTGTAAGTTTCCAAGTAGCATGTTAAATATTCAAAAGACTACTTGACAAAATCTAAGAATATGTCTGCATTATATGAGAGAAAAACCTCGAAATAAAAATAAATAAATAAATAAATAAATCTGAAATACAAGGTTTTATTTTAGATAGTCCAGAATGAAACACAATTCTCATTATAACCGGCCATTAACACTGGCCAATTTATCTGTTAGTATTGTTTTATCTTTACATAGTCAATTCTTTTAATGTATAACTTTGTCAATCCTTTTATAAACATGGATCCTAAGAATTTGGTGAAATGGCTTAATAGGATCCATGCCAATCCCAAGTAATTGGGAGAAAGGCTTAGTTCAATTGAGTTGTAGCCTACAGTTTCATTATATCTACAGATATGTGCGTAAGTTGAGGATTGATTAAATATTCTGCAATGGAGTTGATTGATTAGAGCTATGAATGGTAGATATGAAAGCTAGTGTTGGTTTGTCTTGAGTGAGGGAACTAGTGTGAGGTGGTGGTTATCTGTAATAGAGGGGGTTGATAGCATTTGATAGCAGACCTCCATTCACAACTTTAACTCAATTTGTCCCTTCAGTGCCATTGAGGGACTTATTACCGCAAATAATTGAAAACAAATCAATATTTTGAGCAACAGATTATTATTATAATAATGTATATGTAGCGACCCTAATTTTCTTAAGTCATTTATTTATTATTATGATTATTATATCTTATTTTATTTTTGGCTTTATTAATTGTGTAGGTTACATGAGAATTTAATGTGTTATTTAATAAATTTAATGTGGTAATTAATTAATTTAATGTGGTATTTAATTATATATAATTAATTTAAATATTTATATTTGTTTTATATATAAAAAAAAGGGTGTTACATGTATTGATTTTATAAAATATATTTATATATGTTTATTTGTGTTGAATGTATATAACATAATATTATATAATGTTATTAGGTTATTATATAATATACTAGGGTTGAACCACAAAAGTTTGTGTGTAAAGAAGATTCACTCTGGCAGCAGCTTCGGGGAAGAGAGAGAGAGAGAGAGAGAGAGAGAGAGAGATTTATCAAAAAGAAGAGAAGTTCTCTGTGCGGCTGTGTAACAGTGCAAACCGTGAGGGAGAGAAAAGAGAGACGGTGAAGGAAGAGGGAAAAAATAGAAAGATTAGGGTTTTGTTTTGGTGGCTCATTTAGTTCTCCAAATATTTTATTGACCTTCAAAATAATATTGTGAGTACAAAACCCACTTTCCTTGATTTATGTTTAATTCGCTGTTTATTTAATTATTTATTTTTATTTGTTTGATGTTAGTTTGATTTTGTTTTATATAAAGATGATAGATTAATTTTAATTATTTTGATTAGTTGTGGATATAAGATTTAGGGTTTATAGATGATAGATTGATTTTAAGTATTTTGATTAATAGTATATGTAAAGTTTAGGGTTCTTAGATAAGTGATTGATTTTAATTACTTTGATTAGTTGTGTAGGTAAACTTTAGTGTTTTTAGATGATTGATTAATTTTAATTACTTTGATTAGATATATATATAAAGTTTAGAATTTTTAGATGATTGATTAATTTTAATTATGTTTATTAGACGTATATGTAAGGTTTAAGATTTTTATATGATTAATAGATTGTAATAATTTTAATTAGTTGGATATGAAAGGTTTGAGATTTTTTTTAGACGATTGATTAATTTTAATTATGTTGATTAGACGTATATGTAAGGTTTAGAATTTTTAGATGATTAATTGATTGTAATAATTTTAATTAGATGGGTATGTAAGGTTTAGGATTTTTAGATGATTGATTAATTTTAATTATGTTAATTAGACGTATATGTAAGGTTTAAGATTTTAGATAATTAATTGATTGTAATTATTTTAATTAGTTGGATATGTAAGGCTTAGAATTTTTAAATGATTGACTAATTTTTAATTATTTTGATTAGACGTGTATGTAAGGTTTAGAGTTTTTAGATGATTGATTGATTTTAATTATTTGCATTAGTTGGGTATGCAAGGTTTAAGGTTTTATTGTGGGTGACTTTATTAATTCTTTGAGTGATTCTTTGATCTTCAAAAATAATTGTGAGTACAAAATCCACTTCCCTTGATTTATATTTAATTCTTTGTTTTTATTTATTTATTTGATATTAGTTTGATTCTGTATTCACACAAAGATGATAGATTGATTTTAATTATTTTGACTAGTGGTGTATGTAAAGTTTAGGGTTTATAGATGATTGATTGATTTTAATTATTTTGATTGGTTGTTTATGTAAGGTTTAGGGTTTTTAAATGATTGATTGATTTTAATTATTTTGATTAGTTGCATGCAAGGTTTAGGGTTTTTTTTTTTTAATGGATTGATTTTATGATTGTAATCGCACTCATGATTATATAAAATTGAAATAAACTTAGAATCCATAGATATTGGTTAGAGGATGGATTGATTCGTTGTTTTTATTTATTTGTTTTTATTTGATGTTGGATTAATTTTGTATTTGCATGAAAATGAAGGATTGATTTTACTTATTTGGATTAGTTGTGTATGCCATGTTTATGATTTTTATATGGATTTATTTTATGGTTGTAATTACACTCATGGTCATATGAAATTAAAATTAATTATGAACCTATAGATAAATTCCTTATACTCCACCATGACTCCATGGATTGTTGTTTTATTTGAGTGATGGGGAGAATGAGTGTATAAAAAAAAGTGAGAATTATGAGAGTTGTTTAATGCCTTATGCCTGCCTGGCATTGTTATATTTGTCTCATGATGTTGATGAGATGTTATTTATATTGTTGCCTCGTTCTCATGAGTAGACGAGTGCTTTGATTTACGCGCGTACGTATATGCTAACCATCCGGGGAGTGTGAGTCAAACTCGGGACGATATCCCCGTGCAAGTTTGGCTTCAGAGCAGTGTTAGGTATACGGGGGGCACATGGGATATATGTGTAGGCCGAAAGTGCAGGGCCGAAGTGGTGGAGTTAAGGAACAAAGAATTTAATTATGAATTTATTAGTATAGTGTGTATGGTACTGTTATGTTACATGATAAAAAAATAGTAAACGATATTGATAAATTATGAAATTTGAGGAGAGACATGTATACGTGATTTTAGACAACTCTTGTGTTGTACCTTTTTATTAAAAAGATCGATTAGAACTTATAATCGGATGACCTTGGTTATTGTCGGTTTGATTCACTTTGGTAATGCAGATTTTTATAGGCTGTTTTACCCATGAAACGAGTTCATTTTTATTGGTTTCGCGTAAACTGAAGTAAAACATTAATCTGCACACTTTTCATGTTTGAATTTTTTCAGAAAAAAATCATCTTATGGCAGTTTTTGTTCTTTTTCAGCTTCATATTTTTCGATTGAATTCCGTCTAGATTTTTAGATCAAGCCTTTCTCTTACCTGTTCAGTTTCTGTTAAATTCGTTCACGCTGTCTTTTAGGAAATTTGATTCTGTACAACTTTCGTTCTTTGAGTTTTGATCAATTCGAATTGTTTAAGTATGAAACGGTGTAATTTTATATATATATATATTTTTAATAAGTTACTTATGATTAAATTATACTAACTTTATTTGTTTTGCAGGATGGTGGGTCTTACTAACTTTTTATGCAGGGCTGACCCACCATATTTTTTTTATTATTTCTATATTGTCTATTCTATAATCAATTTATATTTCGTTGTATACGGACAAGAAACTAAATGCCACCGTATCTCGGGAAACTACCCATTCGTCTCGGTGCGGTTGGAACTACTTGTCTTGTCCCGTGAAAAAAAATTATGTACTTTTTGTTTATGTCTGGTGGACACGTGGGTGTCAATTCTTGTACTCATACCAGTATACCTGTATACTGACCCGTTTTGTCTCTTGGCAACTCGGGTGCGTTCTGTTGGAGCGCAGCTGAGCTTCCTTTGCAGGATTAGTAGGGGCTTTGGTGGTGACAAGAAATAACCGTGATCGTAGGACCTGTCGTTTGGACTTCTTTTATTTTTCTTGAGCTTAGGATTGATACTAATTTATGTAATTATTATTTTTTTTAATGACCTTAGTATTTTGGAAAATTTGGCTTGGGTTGTAACCTTACATTATTTAAGTTGTTTTGAAGTATTTATTGTTACTGTAACGTTGGATATATTAGATAGTTTATGAGATTTGTTTCACCCCTAGGATTTGGATGATGGAATATTGATTGGGGTTTAGTCCTAATTTAATATTTAATTGTCCAAATTTTGGGGCGTGACAGTATATATGTAATCAAAAGCTCAAGGTTGTGTATCTATTGTTGAACTCATAGGATTTAACACGAGGAAGGAGAAATCAAATTTAAAATGCATGTAGGGAACAATGTTTAAAATTCTATATCCTTTGACAAGGCTCAAATATAAATGATCTGCCAAAAATTCAAAAACGGAAAATAGTAAGAGTATTCAGGAAATATTGGAATGACATGGAGTTTAAGAACATGCTGTTTCACTATATTAGTCTTTCTTTTGAAGAATTTCAAATTGGAATGGAAATGAAGTTTTTAGAAAACTTTTTGACAAACAATTTTCAGAAATTAATTTAGAAAAAAGTTTCATCAAGTAATCTCCCCTTTCTTTTTGAAAAAATTAAAGAACTTCCAGAAATAGAACCAATATACTGAAATTACAAGCAAAGTTTCGATCTCAAAATATAGGTTTATTAACACAATTGGTAAAGAATGCTTAGATTTCATTTTCCAGCGGAAAATCTCACAAAGCAACAATGAGAATATAATGGAATGAGCAAAAAGTTCATCTGAAGGTGCTACTAGTTTAGAACGGGCCAGCTTCCAATCTGATACTGGTTGATCAAGTTGACAGACAAAAGGATCAAGTATGTCTCTGAAGTCACCAGAGATCAATACCCAAACATAAGGGACTGAGGCAGAAATAAATCATACAGGAAAAGCATATGACGGAAGAATATTGCTTCAAGGAAGAAATTAAAACTAGATATGTTAAAAATCCAATGTGAATGTATAGATGCAACAAATTTATGTAGAGATTTTTTTTGTTTCTCTCTAAGTGTGGCCCCA